TTCAGGATTCCATGTGAGGGCTTGTCTTGTGACGCAGTTGGGTGCTTTCCTCAATGTGTGTCCTACCCACTTCCAGCGCTTCTTCCTGATTTCTTCCTCCACTGGGATCTGGTTTGTTCTCTCCCACAGTACGTTGTTGCTAATAGTGTCTGGCCAATGGATCTGAAGTATTTTGCGTAGACAATTGTTAATAGACACCTGTATCTTCTGGATGATTGCTTTCGTAGTTCTTCAGGTTTCTGCCCCATACAGTAGAACTGTCTTGACATTTGTATTGAAAATCCTGACCTTGGTGTTGGTTGACAGTTGCTTTGAGTTCCAGATGTTCCTCAGTTGTAAATATGCTGCTCTTGCTTTGCCGATCCGCGCCTTCACATCTGCATCAGATCCACCATGTTCATCAATGATGCTGCCCAAATACGTAAAGGTTTTCACTTCTTCCAAATCTTCCCCGTCAATTGTGATTGGACTGGTGCATTCTGTGTTGTATCGGAGAATCCTGCTTTTCCCTTTGTGTATATTGAGACCTACTGCCGCTGAGGCTGCTGCCACACTGTTCGTCTTCTCCTGCATTTGTCGTTGCGATTAAGATAGAAGGGCCAGATCGTCTGCGAAGTCTAGATCATCCAACTGCATCTTAGATGTCCATTGTATCCCGCGCTTTCCTTCAGACGTTGACGTCTTCATGATCCAGTCGATCACCAGGAGAAAGAGAAAGGGTGAGAGTAAGCAACCTTGCCTAACACCGGTCTTCACTTCGAACGACTTTGTCAACTGTCCTCCATGCACGATTTTGCAGTGTAATCCATCATATGAATTCTGTATTATATTGACTATCTTTTGAGGCACGCCGTAGTATCGAAGAAGCTTCCATAGTGTTGCTCTGTGCACTCTGTCAAATGCTTTTTCGTAGTCAATGAAGTTGATGTAGAGTGATGAATTCCATTCAATCGATTGTTCCACAATGACCCGTAGAGTTGCGATTTGGTCTGTACACGATCTATCCTTACGGAATCCTGCCTGTTGGTCACGAAGTTGGGCGTCTACGCAGTCCTTCATCCTGTTTAACAATACCCTGTTGAAGACTTTTCCTGGTATTGAGAGAAGAGTGATGCCCCTGTAGTTATCACACTTGCTGAGATCGCCTTTCTTCGGTATTTTGATCAGGAGTCCTTCCTTCCAGTCTGTTGGTACTTGTTCCTCATCCCAAATCTTATTGAAGAGAATGTGGAGTATCCTTGCAGTTGCCGCTACGTCTGCTTTTAGTGCCTCTGCTGGAATGTTGTCCGGTCCTGCTGCTTTGCCACTCTTGATTTGTCTGATGGCCATGCTGATTTCTTCAATTGTTGGTGGGCCAACATTAATTGGGAGGTCCGTGGGTGCTGCTTCGATGTTGGGTGGGTTCAGTGGATCTGGTCGATTCAAGAGTTATTTGAAGTGTTCTACCCACCTGTTTTGTTGCTCTTCAATGTTGGTGATTACCTCGCCTTCCTTGCTTTTCACTGGTCGTTCTGGTTTGTGGCGATTTCCAGAGAGTTTCTTTGTCGTGTCATACAATTGTCTCATGTTTCCTTCTCTTGCAGCCTTTTCCGCCGTCATTGCTAAATCTTCCACATATTTGCGTTTGTCGGTTCTGATGCTCCTCTTCACTTGTTTGTTTACTTCTGTGTATTCAGCTTGTGCCTTGGCTTTTTCTGCTCTTGTTCGACTGGTATTGATTGCTGCCTTCTTGTTCCTCCTTTCTTGAATCTTATCCAGTGTATCAACAATGATCCATTCCTTGTGATGGTGCTTCTTGTGACCCAGGACCTCATGACATGTTGAAGTGATTGCCTCTTTGATCCCCTTCCAGTTGCTCTCCACAGTAGTTCCTTCTCCATTGAGTAGATCACGAAAGGCCTGGAACTTGTTGCTGAGGACTATCTTGAATTTGTTGAGTGTGTTAGTATCCTGAAGAAGGGCCATATTGAACTTTTGTGATATTGTCCGCCCCGTTGTCCAGTGCTTCTTGAGTTTCAATTTCATTTTGGCGACCAGCAAGTGATGGTCTGATGTTATATCAGCTCCTCTCTTGGTTCTCACGTCCTCTATAGTCCTCCTGAACGTTTGTTGATGCAAATATGGTCGATTTGGTTTTGTGTAGAGTGATCCGGTGAAGTCCATGTGGTTTTGTGTATGCGTTTATGTGGGAATATGGTGCCACCTATGACCAGTTTATTGAAGGCATATAAGTTTGCAAACCTCTCACCATTTTTGTTCCTTTCTCCCAGTCCGTGTCGTCCCATGATGTCTTCATATCCAGTGTTGTCCGTTCCGACCTTGGCATTGAAATCTCCCATCAGAATAGTCAGGTCCTTTGTTGGGCACTTCTCAATGATTGACTGCAGCCTATTGTAGAATTGATCTTTAGCGTCTTCATTGTAGTCGTTGGTAGGCGCATAGCATTGGATGATGTTCATTGAAATGCCCTCTTTCTTCGTTTTGAACGAGGCTTTGATGATCCTTGGTTCATGAGATTCCCATCTTATAAGTGCATTTTGTGCTTGTTTGGACAGCATCAATGCAACTCCTTGTGTATTTGGGGCATTTTCTTCTTCATGGCCGGAGTATAACAGAAGCTCTCCTGAAGTTAGTCGTTGTTGTCCAACTTGTGTCCAATGTGTTTCACTGATCCCAAGCACCTCTAGGTTGTATCTTCTCATTTCTGCAGCAATTTGGAAGGCTCTCCCGGTGTCCCACATTGTACGAACATTCCATGTACCTAAATAAATGGTTGCTCTGGTTGTCAGAAGGGGCATTGGCCTCGTAACTTCCGAAGGAATTCGGCTTTCATCATGAGGCGTCATAGTTCTTCCAAATGAAGACCTTTTGACTCCCAGGGCAGAGTTTGAAAGGTTTGAATAATTTTTTCTGGTTAGCGTTTTTTTAGCGAGTTAGATATTCAATATTAAAACAGCTACAAAATGCACGATATCTGCACAATGAACATTGTTTTCTGAAGCTAGTAGGTAAGAGCCTTTGCATCCACGTCAGTCTTCATGCACTTGCAACCTTCTTCATAGTGGCAATGTTAAAAAAATTAACCGTGCTTGTCTTATTTTGCTTCTCTTTGTTTTTAGCCTAGTTTAGTGATTTGATCAATACAGACAAGCTGTATGGAGTGTGCTTCGACTCAGTTGAAAATGAATAAGCTTAATTTTCTTGTTCCGGAACAAACAGTTTGACGTCTGATGTCTAAATATTTCAGGTCTTTGCAAACAAAGTTGTTGATCATTACCGTAGATAAGCAGTGTCGAATGATTTGGGGCCTACTCGAGTGAGACGGATAGGTGCGACGGACAAGCCAAATTCGAAATCACACGATACGGTGAGCAGCTGACGTGGGTTGTCCTACTTCTCATCAAGGTAGCTACTTTGATGACAACATAACACAAAGGACTTTGCTAATGATATAAATGATTAATATTAGGTAAAAGGAAGAGAGTGTGACCACGTGGCCCCGTCTATAATGAGCAATTATTTGATGCGCGTTGGTTGTCTTTGAACTTGACGAGGATTGGTGACCCAACTGACAGATGACTTGGTTAGGGCACAGTGACATTTCACTTTCACTATACTGTCAACTAGGCTTTATTTCGCATTTGATGGAAAGAAAAAATTACGTGTTGCATTCATAGATGTACTAATAACGAAATTAGACCTGGATTTGGTGAATCTTTGAGGAACAGATTTGAACTAACAGTGAGATCTAAACATTGATGTTGAAAAAAATCACAGTTACCTTACCTGAGTGACAAGGTAATAAAATCCCAATCATTTTTTTGCTTCAATACATTGGTTTAAGAATCGCATTAGAGGAGCTTGGACTCACGAAAGCAAGGAAAAGAGATGACTGGCCGATCGCTTTAATTTACGCATTATTGTAAGTTGAAACATTTTGTATGTATTAGTGTCACTATGATTGCCAAAAGTTCAGTGAATTTTAGGCTTCTCTCCTATGCTTATTACTCTTAGTGTCACTTGAATGTTGATTTCACTATCCTATCTAGATTATCTAATATATCCCAATTCAGGCTTCTACACTATGAACAAAGTGTTGGGATTTGACAAACGAAGAATTATAGACAAAATATTATAAGTAATAGGAATGATAAAGTTGGTAACGTTTCTAAACACATCTTGGCCTTTTATAAATATGACTGTGGTTGCACTCCATCTATATAGATATTATTCTTTTTGATTGGATCACACGGAAAATTTGTCTCGACAGTTTGAGAGATGAGATAAAACCCAGAGATAAGTTACTGATGATAGGAGTTTGATGAAGGTAATCAACTGAGTTCATTGTATTGAAAGTCTCCCAAAACTAAGTTCAACTTACAGCACAAAGACAAGAAGTGTAGATGTTATGTAAAATATGATACAGTAGCGTTTCTCTCAGTCCCACGCATTAATTTGGTCGGTCAAATGTTTGGATATTTGCGTAAGCGTATAGATGATAAAGAGATTTACTGAAATAATGAATAATACATTCATTCACCCTCAAAAATTACACGAAAAACTCACTTGCTTTCTTTTGACATACTGAAGAGCATTTACTTTTCTACGATGTGAAAAAGTTAAAAATAATGGTGTACAAATATTGTGTTAAATGCTTCCGGAAGTAAATAATAACAGTTATTAATTTTATCTGAGTTCTATTTATTTTGCTGATTCACCAAGACAGTATTTTTAGAAAAAAATTATACTACTTTTATTTCACTAGATGTTCGCATACGTTTGTATATGAAAATATTGTATTTTCAAAACTTTCAGACATGTTCATAAATTTGGGTCAGAACGATACACTAATTATTCGAAGCTAATTTTATTGTCACAAAGCTCATATTTTCAAATGGATAGACGTTCTTCATCAATATTCAACGTCTTTTGCAGAGAGGCATGTTTAATGCACTCTTTGTTATGATGTACTGCATTACTTTGTAGGTCAAAAATAAGACACAGCGCTCAACACAGTTTTTTTGTTTGTGTTAGCTGATGTTCGACTTGTGTGCCAGGTAGCGGATCGGTTAGCATCAATTGTCTTAGCATTCATGATGGAACAAGCTTATATTTTTTTAATTTTTTTTAGGGATCTGCACCATACTATCGAGTATTACATATTGTATGAACAAGGTGATCACGGTAAGTCACATATTTAATACAGGACAGTGAGTTCATGCTGAACTTTTTCTCTTTGCGCACGAAAATGATTGATTTAAAGAAACTTTCCCGGCTGTTCACTTATTTACATATTGGATAGTTTCCGCGCTATTGTTTCTTTCCATTCTGAGTACAGCTTTACATGTCATCGCTTATTTCCTGGTTTTGGTCTTATATAGGTCATGAAAATTAAAAACTTCAGTAAATGTAGAATAACTGCACTATTATGTGATTCTTCATGCCCTCGAAACAGACATATATTTCGATATATATTTGCCTGGTGCTCACTTAAGTGAGCTGCTTTTTTATGCTTTTGGCGGTGCGTATAGGGTCTTGAAGTTAGTTAAACTAGGTGTACTTATTCTTGTAATTTTTTGATAGTTCGCACTTCTATGAACTCCACACAATATTTGGTGGCGGAATTTTCAAATTATAATGATTTATGAGTAGGTCCTTAGTAATATCAAATCCTGTACATTCTCTATGTATAATTGTTTTTACTCAACCCACTTCAGTTTAATGATTTCATTTGTAAAGATTACTGCAAAACATTTGCAAGTTCTAGGGCAGCTTTTGCATTACTGATCAAAATAACGAAGTGAATGATTCTACTCAAATACTGCGAAGTTTTACTTTCTAAAATAACGTAAATTTAATCCTTTACTTTTTTTGTAATCGTAGTTTCATATCGTTGTAGTTTGCGTCGTTATATTCACGTTTTTAATTCTCTATTATTTGACCTCTATTTACGCTCTCAACGAGGCATTAAAAATCCAAAGTAGTGCTCGACAGTTTGTTTATTATCACTCATATAAAAACGTGTCTGGGCATAATTTATACTTATAGTTGATGCTTGTCTTACCAGGTCTCTTTTAATTCTACGAGATGGTCATAGTTCTGCTATTAAACTAAAACAAACTATCCATTCCGTTCAGTTAAAAAGTATAAGAACTACTTCTCAAATTATCTGCTTTTTACAAAAGCATTTTCAAATTTCAGCAAAATATTGTTATTAATTATAATGTTGAATGTAAAAAACCTACAAATTCGACTGACAGAATCTACGCGAATAATGTTTATTTTGATGCTTACTTAAAATAGTTGCCAGCCAGTTTGATTTTTAGAATACCTTAATTTATAAGATTTTAAGACGATGGATTTTTCATATCATTGAATTTAAGGATTCATTTTAACGGTTGGTCTGAATAAATTTCATCAGGATATTACAATGTAATTCTCACATTTTTGTTTTCTGGTACCTTATTAGTTTCATTTATTGAACATTTTTAATACATGTTGTAGGTCCAGCTGTCAAAAGATGTTATCCCAGTGATCTTTCTGATGTATTCATTGAACGTATCATCGAATTCGCATTTTGTTGTGATGAGTAAGGTTCTCTAAATTTGCTTTATCTCCATAATTTTATCATAAAGTAGACGTTTATCAGTAGAGGAATTTGTGATTGTATTCACAGATGCCAAGGGCATATTGGAATTCGTTTTTTGTTACCAACCAAACGAAAGATTTCTGCTTTGCATTTCAAGGTAGGTGTTTTGACTTTATTTCTTCAACAATGATAGTTCTCATTACCGTTATAACTGAAAATGATATTATGGATCGAATAACGTATTATTTATGCTAATTACCTCAGTTACATCCTTATCATATTGTACACATAAGCTGCACGAATGTTTGATAAAGGTATATCAAATTGAAGTGACGTGAAATCAAAATTATTGATAGGCTATCATAACGACCTGCATCCACTAACATATGTGAGCAGCTCTTCGATGTTACGAATGACTTACACCCAATGTTTTTGTTCTGCTGTTATTATTTCCTCGTCTTAGTCCTTTCTAAAACGAAGTCTCATTATGATTATATGAAGTGTATCTACCTTGGATGGATGCATATTTGCACATATTCCTTGCTTGCTTTCATTAGTATAATTTTAGTCGTCTATCTCAGTAGCTAACGATTAAGTTCAGCAAAAGTGTTTGTCAAACTACTTAGATGAGTTATTCCTTCTAGTAGACACGTAATGGGTATGCTTTGAATTCGAAACAGTATCTTTAGGTAATTTTAGATTTTTGTCTTGTTATGGTGTTTCAAAATTTAAAGGTTACTCATGAACTACTCACTCACAGAGTTTGTTCTGCTGATTTCGTTATTTATAAATAATCTAAAAATATCTGTCGGTTTTTATTGTTACCACTCATCAACAAAATTCACTTATAATTTCGGATATACTTACGTTTGTCATACTAGAGTCTTTGTTGTCCACTTTTTGTTTGCATGTATTACTGCAGAGAGACATCAAACATTTTAATGCTACTCAATAATTTGAATGCATTGCACTAACTAATAACAAGTTTAAACACTTTTCCTAAGTCTGAAGTACAACTTGATTTGTTTTATAAGCGTAGGTGAATTAATGCTAAAAATGACAGATTTTGGAAAAAATTTAAATTCTTAGTTAACCACTCTACAAATTGCACTCATCTATAAGCGAACACCAAGTCTATCGTTATTAAGTTGTGGTTTACATTTTGTCTACCGTTGTTGCTACCTTGACGTGGTGGTCGGGCTTGCCTATCGTGATGAAGCAACCGAGCTATACTGGCTGGAACAACCGTTCCTCAAGGTCCTACCATGTCAGACAGGTCGGTTGAAGAGCGGTAAGACTAAAAGCAACAAACCCAAGGTCCGAAGGCGAAGTCGTACTGCTGACTGTACAGAGGTGTGACAGCAGTAAGGTGTTTCCTTCAGACAACCAGCATGACAGCGATGCTGCCTTCCCACAAGGAGGGGTGGGGTTAGAAAAGGTCGACCCTAAAAATGCACACCTCACCTTACCTCACGGATTTCCGTCTCCGGCGGTAAGGCCCTTTGAAGAACGGAGCTAACACGTCGAAAACCTTCCACGAAAAGGCCGTGCGCGACCGGCCTCAAGCAGTTGTCCCTTGGGCACTGCGGTCACGCTCTCAGGTCACTGAGACCACCTCTAATCCAATTTCCTTTTCAGGTACCTCCAGAAGAACCCTTCCACGGTGTGGGCAACCGGGAAGTGATAACCGCCCTCATACCTCTAACAGCACCCAAGACCACTGTATTCATAATCAACCTTCCTCTTCAATTCCTATTATTCCTCCTACATCGACTTTCAACCCTAAACTTCCTCCTTCGGCTTCCTCCTCAAGTGTCACCATAGCCAACGATTCTAGTGCTCAAAACTCTGTCCCAGGTCTACTGAAACCTCGCTCCAAACTACACATTGGAGCTTTCAACGTACGCACTCTATGTCAAATCGGTCAGCAGGCTTCCTTGGCTAAAACCCTAGAGTCTCTTTCCATTGATGTATGCTGTGTCTCTGAAACACGCATACAGGATCCCAGTGTGGTCATTCACTTGACCTCACCTCGGCAAAACGGAGAGCCAACGAGATACACCCTCGTGTATCTGGTGACCCGATGGCCAGTTCTCGTGGACTGGCAGGTGTAGGCATAGCACTAAGCATGAGGGCCGAACAAGCACTGCTAGAGTGGATCCCCGTCAACAGTCGTCTATGTGCTGTTCGGCTGAACGGCTACGTAAGAACTCGGAAGGATAGGGACACACGTCGTTGCCTTTTTGTCGTTTCTGTCTACGCTCCCACTGACTGCAGCTCAGATGAAGTGAAAGATGAATTTTACAGAAAGCTTTCTGAACTTCTTCAGAAAGCTAAACGCTCAGACATAGTACTCGTAGCAGGTGATTTTAATGCTCAGATAGGTAGCTTAAACCAAACAGAAAGGCATTTAGGTGGATATTTTAGTATTCCGACACAGCGAACAGATAATGGTGATCGTCTGCTGCAGCTATGCTCAGACAATCGTTTATTTTTAGCAAACACAAATTTTAAGCATAAGGAGAGACATCGTCTAACATGGCGACCCCCTACACCAAACCAACGATGGACTCAAATAGACCATATTGCCATCAGTCATCGTTGGAGAGGGTCGGTAGAAGATTGTCGCTCATTCTGGAGTACCTGCTTGGACTCCGACCATGCCCTAATACGGGCACGCATCTGCTTGCGCCTCACTGGACGCAAAAAAGCCACATTAAAAAGACCCGTTAGAACTGAGTTGAGTAACGAGAAAACCAAAAGTAGGTTCCAGGAACAACTGAGGTCACACTTAGGTAGTTGTGAAGACGAGGCTGACCCAGATGTTGCTTGGAAGGGCATACAATCAGCTGTGGAAACAGCAGTGACATCTATTAGTGACTTAAACCACAGAGTTGCAAGGAACCAGTGGATTTCTTCAAGGTCTGTCACACTGATGGATTCTCGCAAACTCGTCCCATCAGGTTCTGAACATGATGAAGAGCGAAAACAAATCAGATCTAGGTTAAGAAAAAGTCTAAGGAACGACCGTGAGCAGTGGTGGGTAACGAAAGCAAAAGAGATGGAAAAGGCGGCGACTATAGGGAACACAAGACAGCTTTACAGACTAATAAAAGAAACTGGAATTAATAAGTCAAGTGTAAGTGAGATTATTTCGGAAAAAGATGATACTCTCATCTGCTCCCAGTCCAGACGTTTAGAACGATGGGCGGAACATTTTAGAGAACAGTTCAGCTGGCCTTCAGCTACTCTACAACTACCCTCCATTCCCAGACAATGTGAATGGAACATTGAAGTAGGTCCCCCAACTCTTGCTGAAGTTCAAAAGGCTATAGTTAATCTGAAACGAGGAAGGGCAGCTGGTCCAGATGGATTGGCTCCAGAGGTCTTTAAGGATGGTGGTCCAATTTTAGCGATTAGGTTGACTAATATTTTAGCTAAGATCTGGGAATTAGACTTTATCCCATCTGACTGGTCGCAATCACTTATCGTCCCAATATATAAGAAAGGGTCAAAATCATCCTGTGACAACCACAGAGGGATTAGTTTAACAAACATAGTATCTAAAATACTGGCCTCGATAATTATCAGACGCCTAACTAAGACTCGTGAACTACAAACTCGAGAGAACCAAGCTGGCTTTAGACCTGGTCGTGGCTGCATCGACCACATATTCACCATTCGTCAGGTTCTAGAACACAGGCATACCTATCGGCGTCCGACGATGGTGGTCTTTCTTGACTTAAAAGCAGCGTTTGACTCTGTAGACCGCGAGACTCTGTGGCAGTGTCTGTCATTGAAAGGCGTACCTCAGAAGTACATAAACCTTGTGAAGGCTCTTTACTCGAACACTACTAGTCGAGTCAGAGCTTATGGCGAACTGTCATCTACTTTTGCAACTTCAAGTGGTGTCCGTCAAGGCTGTCCACTTTCTCCATTTTTGTTTAACTTCATCATAGACCTATTGATGGAAATAACACTCTCGTCGACTGAATTCTCGGGTATTGATCTCCTTCCAGGAGGTCCACTTATCGACTTAGAATACGCAGATGATATAGTCCTGTTTGGTGAAGACGCTGACAAAATGCAGAGTCTTCTGGTAGCACTAAGCAACAATGCCAGAATGTTTGGGATGCGCTTCTCTCCCTCTAAATGCAAGTTGTTGCTTCAGGACTGGTCTGCGTCAACACCTGAACTAAGGATAGGGAGTGAAGTAGTCGAACGCGTCGACAACTTCACTTATCTTGGAAGTCTGATCAGCCCTAATGGGTTGGTGTCTGACGAAATCTCAGCACGGATTCGAAAAGCTCGTTTGGCTTTTGCCAACTTACGTCACCTTTGGCGGAGGCGAGATATCCGTCTATCAATAAAAGGACGAGTATACTGCGCGGCAGTCCGTTCTGTCTTACTTTACGGCAGCGAAACATGGCCTTTAAGAGTAGAAGACACCCGTAAGCTACAAGTATTTGACCACAGATGCCTTAGAAATATTGCTGGCATCTGCTGGGATCACCGGGTAAGTAATAGTGAGGTTAGACGCAGGGTATTAGGGAATGATGGTAAATCAGTTGATGAGGTTATGAATCTTCATCGACTGAGATGGTTGGGCCACGTATTACGTATGCCTGAACACCGATTACCACGACGTGCAATGCTAACCGGTGTAGGGGATGGTTGGAAGAAAGTTAGGGGCGGCCAAACCAAAACGTGGCATCAGTGCTTGAAGTCACTAACTTCTAGTCTGAGCCATGTTGGTAGATGCAGACTACTTGGTTGGGGTCCGCGTGACTATCGTAACCAATGGTTGGAGACTCTTGGTGACATGGCTCAGAATCGATCACAATGGCGTCGGTGTATACACTCCCTGTCTTCCCTTAAACTAAGAGATTAAAATCACTTCATATCTTTCTTTCTACGAACTAATTCTTCCTTCCTATACTATATCCTTATTGCAACCTTTGACCTAACCACTCCTATGAATCCGGTGTTCATCTTGTTGTGCTAATGAGGTATGGCAACCTGGACCGATGCACATATGTGCCTGGTCCTACGTTGTAGCTGACTGACTGACTGACTGACTATTATTTCAATGTATTTTTAGGTGTAAAAAAATATTATTGTTGTTAGTTCAATAATTACTACTTTACTGGCGTAAACAGGATGTTGATTAGTTGTTTTTTAATAAACTACATTTTGTCTGATTTAGCAAATTTCCTTGGTGTGAGTGCTTTCACTCTCTGCTAAGCATTTTATGGCATCATGGTCTTTATCGTGATGTTCACTGGTCCATTATGGAGCCATTCTTCTCTCATCTAAGTTCTACTATTCCACCTCGTTTACCGATCGATCGTATTCAATGTGCGAATCCATTCAACCCGTCTATGGTATGCTTAAATGAATTTGATTTTCAAATTGAACTTGCATTTTTTTAACCTTATCTGAAAGGATGGCGTAACTTGCTATAGATACATCCACTCATTCGACAAACAAAAGTACAGCAGGAGTACAACATGTCTTAGTTATGTTTAACTCTTGTTGTGCCGGAAAAAAAACCGCTAGTCACTTATACTAGAAACGAGGAGCCCCTGCGATTCCCACGATACGAAGTAAGAACACAAAGACTGGTATAAGTGAAGATTTATTGACCCCAAAATACGACGACGACGATTCTAGTAGAAAATACACTCATTTATATATTGATTGTACACCCATTTTTGATTAATAATTAGAATAAAATCACATATATGAAAAATACTTAGAGTTATAACAAATCACAGATTGAGTATAGTTCATGTCAATGGAATACAAGAATATCGTATAGTATACAGAATAAAATATCATACGACAAAAGTAAACAATTACTACAGTGAATGATCATTACATTGAATTAGAATGGATGTAATGTTGAATAAAACTCATAATGAGTAAATCAATCGAAAATTGATTTTTCTTCCCATCATATCAATTCTAAATAAAGTTTTTATTTACCAGAGCACGAGATTATATTATCTACCTAAAGTACTATTTGCCATGTGTATCTCAATTAAATTGGGATATAAATTAGCGATTGATATTACTTCCTTGGGTAAAGAACACTGTTGTTTTGTTTTCGAACAATCCCTTAACTACTAATCAAAAGTCACTATAATCGATTTAAATCGTCTAAATACTATGAATTTGCTATCAGCACCAATCAAGATGTTTATTTACTTCTTGGAATAAAAACTTATTTGAGTTTTTGCTGTTTTAAATTTGTTCCCATCATAGTTACCATTGTCACTAATGTGTGATTGATGTACTCAATGTAAACATTAAAACTGAGAAGTATATCCAGCAGCCGAGCCCCAAATCGACGAAGCGCTTGTCGTCGATTCAATTACCAACCGCTATACAACCTTATTTGGAACTTGTTAGTAATCATTTTGCTTATAACAACATCCAAAAACGTTTTCGGATAGTAGTTGTATTAAAAAGAGCTCTTTTTATCTTATTTTGTGACTGTTTTTACTTTTTTCTAAACTTCTCAACCCTTCCACAGTCAAAATTAAGTTTTAGAAAAGTAAAAATTCTAAATTAAAATGAAGTGAATACTCAATACAAACGCAACATACTATGTAAACTGTTATATCTAAAGAATTAACAAACTGATAATGAAATTATATTTTAGGGTTTTGTGCTCCGAATTCCAACACCTCAATCCCCACATTATTTGGTAAGTTGTGGTATGTTCACATACATTATAATTTTTAAATAGAACTACGTTATCGAATATTACAATGCATTGGATCTTTCACTGTGGATACATATATTTGTAAGGTGAGAATTCATTTTATTATCCCAAATTTCTTTTAAACCTTTGTGAGGATAAATGATGATACAGTAGCAGTCATTTGAGATTACTTCAAATTATTTAATTTCTGTCGTTGTTTATCACATAATAAAAGCGTTAGAAATGTAATTTCATGTTAAATGAAAAGCAATTTTGTAATGTATCAATACTTAGTTTGTAATTTCGTTGTAACTGAGTTGAAATGATATCGTTCAACTGTTATGGATCTGGAAGCTTTAATGAAAAAATGAAAATGATTGGGGTTCTAGCATTGTGTTGACTAAATTTATAATGAAAACATAAAAGCATGATTCACAGATGAAGGATTATGACATTATTTTTTGAGTCTTTTGAAAATGAATTCATTTAAGCTCTAATTGGGATAATTAGACGTTTAAAGCTCCAAGTATCAACGGGATCTTAAATAGACCCCTATTTGCTGGTATTAAGTGTATTCGAAACAGCCTTAATATAATATTCGTAAATTAGCTTCCAGCAATTGTGGGTTTTTGTACTGATATTTTTTAGGACTGATTATGAAAATGTAAACATAAATATGACCCATTGATAGATAGTGAAATACTCTATTGCTCATCCAGTGGTACAATCAGAGATTCTAATGAAAAATTGTCATAAGGCGTTGTCTTAATCAAATTTAACTTGTTCTTTGGATTCTTTTGTTTTTGTCCTTTATAGCTTACTTTTGGAGCGAAGTTTACTATTCTGTTCAAGACGGTTGACAAAGTTGACAGCGTGTGTCTTAACTTCTGTTTCATTGTTGTATCCGATTCAATGGTAAGTGAATATTACTCATCTATTGTTTCGGTATAAATTTTGACTTGTTTATTTCCACAATGATACGATGTTTTTCATCGCGAAACGTCATTTTACTTTATCTTCAGACTCCTTAATAGTGCTCACACACGACCTCACATGAGATCAAGTTCAATTAATTTGTGATAGACATTACAAGCATAGATGATTAAGCTCCGACTCAATGGTTTAAAAGTGATGCGCATGCTTCAAAACTTGAATATCCTTCTTCCCATCTCATATATCCATCAAGATTGTGTAACGTTTGGGATTCAGAAACTAGAACAAAACAACTATTGGGTTGTTAACAGACACATGTAAGGGAGATTGCAATGCTACTTGACTTCCCAAGCTGAAGTATACGGAGCTGAGTTTGAACCGACAACCCATTGTTTGATAATTGATTATCATGAAGATTAGGCCACCACCTATTTTTTCTTAAAAGTATTTGATTACTGTTTATCTAGTGTTCCGGAATATGCTATTCTTTTACAAATATTTATCAGCCCTTACAAAGAAAATTATCCCATCCGACCATTTTTGTTATATTCAGTCTGCCTACATTCACATAGTTTTATTTGATGAAAAGATAGTGTTCATGTAAAGCTCACCATTTCTTCTAGTTATGTTGATCATATAACCACCTCTCAACAATTGAAAATTCACCTCAACTGTTACGTCATATATACTTACATCAACCCAATAAGACTTTATATCTTAGTAAAATGTCTATAACTTATTACTGTGTTTTTCGAAACAAATGAAATAATACATAAATATATTCTTCAGAAATTTCACTGATCTATATTAAAAAAATAATCGATTATTGTGTGACGGTTTGTCAAGCTTTCTTTCTCAATTTTTCATCACTTTTGTTTTCCAAACAACTCTATGATTGACAGTAACTTTTTCGTTAGTTACATTTTTATTCATTAAAAAGAATTTCATGTTTGGTCCATAATCAATAAAACATAACTGACTCCCTCTAGTTGGATAAGTTTATTCTGACTAGCTGGCATTTACCAGTGTAATATTCGTTTATTTTTGTTGATAATAAATATTAGATTGTTTTAGACATTTTCATCGCGGTATATCATTTGTGAATTGGATTTGTATCACAGAATGATGTTTGATATATAATAATTGAAAACGAGCGAGGAGCATTGAACAGTTGTTTGATTGTAGTTTATGTATTTTCAGTAATTCACACACACTAGCCAACTGGACTATATTCATTTCAGTCGGCATTTTAACGCCCAAATGTCCTGGTATGGCCGAGAGTGGGGTGGGCCAGCCCTCCCTCTCGAAATGCTCTCACACGCCCACGCATATACAACCTTTACCAGGGAAGTCCTACTCATTGCTTTCTCGTGGCGGGGGTGTTGTTTACGAAAATGAGAGGACGAAAAGCGAATGTCCGGCGCCTTAACCGGATTCCAAACAAATGGTGCAGATGGGCTCCAGTATCCTGAAGGAACAAATGGCGTATGAACCAATCGTTGGTGACCGGCTACCATGGGACTGCATCTCCTCACGATGCTCCACTGCCTTGTGGGTTAGACCTTTAGGTCAAAGGCTCGGGGTGTGGTCCCCTAAGAAAACCACCTGCTTCGGTCTGAACACCCGGGCTGTATCACAGCCCTCACACAAATCGAATGATTTATGTGGCGCATACCTATTTGGTGCCTCCTTGTACCAATATCTATGTGTTAAAATAAATAAAAATAAATAAATAGAAGTTGCTAACTTTATCACCAAATTATAGATTAGTTGTTTAGCTAAATCACAAAGTTCAGAGCTAATTGATAAGCTGATCATATGATTTTCTATTGTACTTTTATTAAAATGTTTACACTATCTGACAGTAATTTTGATGAATAGTTAAGATCAGCCAATATAGCAGCTACTGATTAACGTTAGGCGTCCAAAGTTAGGCTCAACCAGTTATTTTTTTCTTGGTTTCCATTATTTAATCAAATAATTATTATCGTTATTTTCAAATCTTTCAAGTTTCAAAAAGTTTCTTCAAATAACAATAATAAGTAAACCAAATAACCGTCAATTTCACATTTTGATAGAATAATTATCCTAGTTAAACTGATCTCTACTGAGTATCTACTGAGAATATGAAATTTTCAGTTCAAATTATTTTTCACGAATATAAACATTACAGTGTCGAAATTACCCATTCAACAGAATGTTGTCAGTGATTTCACGAATATTCCCAACATAAAATGACTGAAATACATATTTTTCATTCGATGTTGTATCAAAAAATAGGATAATGTTTTAACCGTAGTTATTTACTATCATGGAAACTAGAGTTTTATGTATTGGTTTCTGCAAATGAAGACCAGCACCTATAATTTAGAAATTAATCCAGTCAAATCTGTTCCGATCATGAGCCAATTGAAGCTAGACCGCCATGGAAAACCTGGAAGCACTGGACGGCCTTTTCGTCCTATTGTGGGACTCCTCAGCTGTGTGCATCCACGGCTCCGCATCGCGAGATTTGAACCCAGGACCTATCTGTATCGGACGCGAGTTCCTAACCTCTAGACCAATGAGCCGGTACTTTGACGAACCCTTGAACAGACCAGCTTCATTGAATATCCCGGATATTGAAGCGGCACACACAGACCTTCCCATAGATATCATTCTACCAACGACGAAAGAAATCAGGATAACCATCAGACATATCGAGTGCGGGAAAGCAGCAGGACCTGACAATATAACAGCTGAAGCACTGAAGACAGACATCGAAGTAACTACAAACATGGTTCACCTTCTATTCAAGAAGGTTTGGAAGGAGGAACGAGCGCCGATGGACTGTAAAAAAGGACACCTCATCAACATACCAAAGAAAAAAGACCTGAGCAAATGTGAGGACTACAGAGGCACCATACTACTATCAGTACAAGGAAACGTATTCAATAGTGTTGCTGAACCGGATGAATAACTCAGTAGACACCCAACTCCGAGATCAAGAGACCGGATTCCATAAGGATCGGTAATGCACAGACCAAAGTGTGACACTACGGATCACCGTTGAACAATGAAGCAAATGGAACTCGTCACTATACATCAACTTTATTGACTATGAGAAGGCGTTTTACAGTGTGAACCAGAGGACATTATGGAAACTTCGACACTATGGAGTATATAAGAAATTCGTCAACATCATACGGAATTTATTCAACAGACTGAAGCGCGAAACCGTGCATGGAGGACAGCTGACAGACGAATCCGAACTGAGGACCGGAGTCAGACAAGGCTGTCTACTCTCCCCCTTCTTCTTTCTTCTGGTGGTTGACTGGACTATGGAGACCTCATCTCAGGAGAAGCACGGAATATAATGGACAGTTCAGAACCAATTAGACGATTTGAACTTCGCAGATCACCTAGCCTTCCCATCTCATACACACGAGCGAATGCAGATGAAGACAACTAGTGTAGCAGCAGTCTCTGCATCAGCAGGCCTCAACATAAGCAAACGAAAAAGCAAGATTCCCGAATACAGCACGGAGAACACCATCCCAATCACACTTGATGGCGAAACTCTGGGAGATGTGGGATGTTTCACGTACATGGGCAGCATCATCGATGAACAAGGAGGACCAGGTACAAACGTAAAAGCGAGGATTGGCAAAGCAAAGGCAACATCCCAACAACTGAAGGACACATGGAACTCAAAACAACAACCAACCAAAATCAAAGTCAGAATCTTCAATACGAACGTCAAGATAGTTCTACCATACGGAGCTGCAACGTGGAGAACTACTACAACCATCATCAAGAAGGTACAAGTAATTCTAAACAGTTTTCTATGCAAGATACTCAATATCCGTTGTTTGGATACCATCAGTAATAACCTACTGTGGGAGAGAACAAACTAGCTTCCAGCTGGGCAGGAAATTAAGAAAAGATGTTGGAAGTGGATAGAACATACATTGAAGAAGTAACCAAACTGCAGCACGAGGCAATCCGTAACTTGGAATCCTGAAGGTAAACGGAAAAGAGGAAGGCCAAAGAACACATTACGTCGAGAAATAGAAGCAAGTATGAAAAGGATGAACAGGAACTGGAAGGAGCTGGAAAGGATTACCCAGGACAGGGTTGGATGGCGAGTGCTGGTGGGTGGCCTATGCTCCTCCACGAGGAGTGACAGGCGTTAGTAAATAAGTAAATCGGTTTAGATGTGCATTGTTTGAATCAATATTACCTTCATGCTTTTGCGAATTCTTTTCATTTCCGGTAATGATTATTAGTAATAATCAGGCGGCCATTTCTTTCTGAATATACCAGCATTGATTTATTGATTTTCACAGTGGGACTCCAACCTTACCACTGATCACTTCAAACATTAGAGGGTTATTTTTTTTAAATATTTAATCATGATAATCACTAATATGTTAAATTGCTATGAAATTTTTTAAAACATCTTAAATGGTTCACATTTTCATTTTTTTGCTACTCAAATTGAATCGGTCAAAACAGTACACACATTCTCATTTCTACTAGTAGGGTGCTATTCAACATCTAATTAGTTATCTTGGCCAATATCAAATTCAATAATCTATAAGACATATCTAATATTTTGTTATTCTTGTATGTACATCTAACTTATCTATGATTTTAAAATTGTTGTCAGTTTGTAATTATTTTCCAACTATGGTTCATCGTCTTCTTCCTATTAAATTAAACTCTTTCATTCTCTATACTATTTATGTATGGGACGAATTAGTTCTAGTGAGGAGTCGTGACCAGTGTAGTTTAACCGTGTCTGTTGTGAAGCAATGACTCACTGAAGACAATGGTGGACGGTGGCACAATTTCATGGATTGGTTGAAGTTAGATATTAACACCGTTGGATGCCGGCTCATTGGTCTAGATATTAAGTGTTTGCATGCGAGACCGAAAGTCCTAGGTTTGAATCCCGCGACCAGGATCGTGAATGCGCATTGCTGAGGAGTCCCATACTA